TTGTTTGCATTGTCTTATACAGTTTAGTGTGTTGATTTAAATAAGTTTTTGTTGATTATAAAACTATTGTAAACAATTAACCGAAGATAAAGTTTTAAATAAATAAAATAAATAAATAAAAAATCCCAAAGGTATTTATGGTGAAAATGGGTATATATTTTAAGAAGGATTTAAACAGATCATAATCTTGATTTTGAATCTACTTGAATCACAGCCAATAATCCGGAAAACTCTACATTTTAAAAACTACTATTTAGTTATTTGAAGTTTTAGATTAATGTCCAAATGGCTTCTAACTCAGGACGGGCCTAACAGTGCTACCTATGGTGTCACACAATATGGCTGGATGGAAGGACCTGCTTTTGCTGGATGGTTTGAAAAGACATTTGTCCAACATTGTCGCAAGCTTGAAGGATCTAAAGTCCTTTTTCTAGATGGCCATGCCTCACATGTAACGCTGGCACTAATTCACTTAGCAAAAAAGGAGAACATTATTATTTTTAAGCTATAGCTTAAAAATAATAATGTTTAAGCTATAGCTTAAAAATAATTATGTTCTCCTCTTTTGCTAAGTGAATTAGTTCCAGCGTTACATGTGAGGCATGGCCATCTAGAAAAAGGACTTTAGATCCTTCAAGCTTGCGACAATGTTGGACAAATGTCTTTTCAAACCATCCAGCAAAAGCAGGTCCTTCCATCCAGCCATATTGTGTGAGCCGGTATACCGGGTCATACATCTCACGTGTTACAGCCAAAAGCAAGATCTTCCATCCATCCAGATTGTATGAGCCGGTATACCGGCTCATACATCTCACGTGTTACAGCCACTTGATGTAGGCGTATTTAGGACGGCGAAAAGTAAATGGCGCGGAATCCTAAATAAACATTTCATTCAAAACGGTTTTAAAGAACTCACAAAGCCTAGATATCCTGGATTGCTCAAATATCTTATTGACCAAAGCTTCTTGAGCGACAATGTGCGTTCGGGCTTCAAAGCAACAGGTATTTTTCCTTTGTGTTGGGAAAAAATGAATAATAAAAAGTTAGCTGTTGGATTGATTTTTGCGCAAAGTACTCAAGCCTTACCAAAACTGCTTATACCAGTCACCACAATTCCAGAAATTCCTTCAAGTATACAAAAGCATAGAAGTTCAAGCACACAAACCTCTTCGAGCTCATTAAAAAAAATACCTCCTTTAACATGCTGCACAACTGCTTGTAAGCATTTAAAGACATCAATTTTAAATGCTTTACATGTTGGCCTGCCCAAAGCTTCCGTATTCAAGTCAATGCTAAATGTTTCTAATAATAACATGCGCCTCACGAAAAGTTACATTATGACTTCTGAAGAAGCTTTGATAGAACTTACAAATAAGCAAACAATGACACAAAATAAGGAGAACGAAATACAAGCTAGAAAAGTTTTGCGTGAAAAAACAAAACAGGAGGCTAATTCAATGAAGACTCAAAAACGTTTGGCAAAGGAAACAGGTTTGTTTAACAAACCTACTATTAAAAAGCAGAAACGACAACTAGTGGGAGTTATCGAAACTCCGATTATGTCAGAATCCGAAGTGACTTCCATATATCAACACTGTAAATCTGATGGTTCTTTGAATATAAAAAAATGTCAAGCTTGTGACATTTTTTTGGAAATGAAACTGCAGCTCAACAATAATTAAGGATGCGTTGCAAATACTGTGAAAATCGGATCTTGGATGGATCTTGCCGTAGTAATTTGGTGAACGATTTGTGCAAGAATTGCCAATAAACTAGTATTTTTGTATATAAAAAAAAAAATTCTTTTTAACTTTATTGAAAAATATCTTTTTAATTTTATTAACCAGCGGCGTAGCGAATATAGCACGAAGATGCCTCCAAGAAGTCCTTATGAACTTTTCTGTGATAAGATCATAAGGACTTCTTAGACCAAACTTCTTAAACAACAAAAAAAGGGGATAAAACCCAAAGTAATAAAATAGTTGACTAGTTATAATAAAAACAAAAAGTAATACTATTTATAATTAAAAAAAGCCTTTTTTTATCTGCTCCATGTTGTTTTCTTTTGCAGCCCAAAAGACTTTTTTCTAGAGTCTGGGTTACTGGTATTACCTGATATTATATCATCATTAAACATTAAAACAACATTAAAATTTTTTATTTTTTTATTCGTGACGTGATGCGTTAATAGGATTTATATAGCGGTCAAAGTAGATGTTCTCATTTGAATTTAAATATTGAGTACTAGTTTTTACTTTTCATTTTTACAATATCGATTATCAATATAATTTTCTGTATTTTCAGAAAAAAAATTAAAATTTTTAATGTATGCGAGATAAATAAATGTTTATAGCTCAAGTGACCGGACTTGAGCGATTTTACGGTATATATAATACTTTGCTTGTATTACATTTCGGAAAAATAGATTTTTAAAATTTTGGTGTCATGCTAAAGAGTCAAAAAATGCGTGACGTAGTTTATCGACGACCCCTAATAATAATTTACGGATTAATTATATTGGAATTAGATAGACTTTCTTTCACCAACTGGTTAAAAAATCTAAACATCTCGAAAAGACTTTGAGATTTGTTTTGATTAATTCAAGTTTTGTAAAAGTATAATTACTTTAATATACGAAATTCAACAAAAAAATCATACATTTTTTTGTTAATTATAATTTTAAAATAAAAGTAATAAAAGTGAAAATAAATAATAATAATTAACAAAAAAGTTTTTATGTTAAATTACTTATACTTTTATAAAACTTTACAATCGTGATTTTTTATTATTTTAAAATTAAAGACCTAAATAAAAAAGTTAAATTTCCTCAAAGTTTTTATTACTTTGTTGCATAAAAAATAACAACAGTTGTGACAAACTATCAAACCGTGGAATTCCACTATGTTGCGATTCCCTTCAATAGATCTCCCAAATCAGTTCTATATTTTACCAAGTAATATCAATAGAATATTGCTAATTTGAAATGATTTTTTTTAAAATTAAACACCATTAATCCCATAATTATTTGAAAAAATATTTAAAAAATTATTAAAGTATTGCCTAATTGCTTTCAAGAAAATTATCTTAACTACTTCCATATATTAGTTATACACATTGCTTAAACTTTTTGAATTAGAGTTTATAACTTATTGGTTGTTATAGCTAGGGATTCAACTTTAATTGTATAGTAGGTAATTGTAAGCAAGAACTGATTAAGATTGCCCTCAGTATTGCATTGCAATAAACAGATCGTTAAAACTTTGTAGCAAGATGAATTTTGACCTGTTAGACACAGGTTTATTTTGTAATGGTTAATTAACTACCAAAGAATTTAAGGCGTACCACACCTTCAAGAATGGAGAACATAGGGTAAAGACCACTTTTTTTAAGAGTTTAAATAGTTACAATTTAGACAAGTAAAATTTTGATTCAGAGCAAATATGCAATATATAGACTAGTATTACTACTGTCAATGAGCAAAAAAATAAGTTTGCAAAGGTATGAAGCAAGTTTTGAATCGTTCTTCTTAAGCATGTTTCCTATCATCCTTCTTTGCCAGTATTGCATTTTTTTCAGTTTTTTATGATCATCATGAAGTTTAATCAAGATTCGAACTCCATAATCAATTCTCTGGTGTGAATTGCCAGCTCGCTGCCAAGTTTCAATAACCTTTGACATTGCCAGAAATGCTGCTTCTTTTAACAGTGATTTTTACTCAATGTGGAAAAACATAAAAAGTTAAAAAACATGTTTCCTATCATCCTTCTTTGCCAGTATTGCATTTTTTTCAGTTTTTTATGATCATCATGAAGTTTAATCAAGATTCGAACTCCATAATCAATTCTCTGGTGTGAATTGCCAGCTCGCTGCCAAGTTTCAATAACCTTTGACATTGCCAGAAATGCTGCTTCTTTTAACAGTGATTTTTACTCAATGTGGAAAAACATAAAAAGTTAAAAAACATGTTTCCTATCATCCTTCTTTGCCAGTATTGCATTTTTTTCAGTTTTTTATGATCATCATGAAGTTTAATCAAGATTCGAACTCCATAATCAATTCTCTGGTGTGAATTGCCAGCTCACTGCCAAGTTTCAATAACCTTTGACATTGCCAGAAATGCTGCTTCTTTTAACAGTGATTTTTACTCAATGTGGAAAAACATAAAAAGTTAAAAAACATCCCCATTAGTAAGAAGATGTGAGCTTGAAAGTTCCTTTTTGCCCTTCCCTAACAACCACAATTTAGCATTGCTTCTAGTTTTTCAAAATCATTTCAAAACAAATTATTATAAAATCACATCATTTTACTAACAATTGATAATATTTGATTATTATAAATTATTTGATTATTATATATTTGAATATTTGCAGTAATTACAGTAATTAGGCATTTAAAGTGTAGGATCTTGAGTTACTTTGAGTGACCTCTAAACATGCTTGGGTCTTCTTTAAATTTTTATCACACCCTACTTAAAGGAGGTAGAAGAGATTTAAACTTGTGGAGTTCTGAATAAAATATTTTTTATATCATTGTTCCATGGACCACCCTAATACATATATAAAAATATATATCTTTATATATATATATATATATATATATATATATATATATAGATATATATATATATATATATATATATATATATATATATATATATATATGTATATATATATATATATATATATATATATATATATATATATATATATGTATATATATATATATATATATATATATATATATATATATATATATATATATATATATATATATATATATATATAATATATCATTGTTCCATATTAATATTTTTTATATCATTGTTTCATGGACCACCCTAATACATATATAAAAAAATATATATATATATCTTTATATATATATATATATATATATATGTATATATATATATATATATATATATATATATATATATATATATATATATATATATATATATATATATATATTTCAAATGATTTATTCAAAATTTTTTTTAG